ATCAACACGAAGCAACATCATCAAATTGCCCATCTTGCGGACCATCTCATCTAACATGGTTGATTCCGTCCAACCGCCATCAAACCCACCTTTGATCACCCTCTGCAAGAAACTATAAATTGCCTCCTCATAGTCGCGGGCGAAGAAACATTCACTTTCAGTATACGCCATGTAATGCTTGTGAGACGAGCCACAGAATAAATTAAGAATGGGCAAATCCATGATAAAGCAGACTGCAGCGGTGACCTCCCCATCGGGCGGCATGGGCGCCTTGAATGGATCATGGCGCCGGTGAGAGGGCTGAAGATGCGCGCGGTGTGAGGAGGGCTCTTGTCAGCCAGGATAAAGAAGCCCTCAAGAGTGGTGGCGACCACATAGTAGTCGCTGAGCGGCAGGAGCTCCTTGTGGATTAATCGCCCGGTGGCAGTGTTGACTGTTGAGCGCTCTCGAAGGCCTCGTCAAGGATGATCCACCCGCGCGGGCGAAACCGGCAATCCGAGGTGTTGTTCCTGGGGTCATCGGTGGCAGAGCGCCAGTCATGGCACACGTACGGCGCGTAAGTCCATATACCAATCGACGTCGTTGGTGGCGAGGAAGGACTCGGCGATGCGGCGGACGAGGTCGTACGGGAGACAGGACCAGTCTGCAATCGCCGTGGATGGTAAGACCGGCGAGGTTTCCAGACAGCCGGGTTGGTCCTTCTTCCCCTTGGAAAGCGGGAGAACTTCAGCGTGTGCAGCAGCGGCCACCATAGCTGCACGCTGGAGTTGCTGTTTGGCTTGATTTTCGATCTCAAGGACAGAATCCAAGGGCCAGCTCCTCCCTGCCAAAATGAAGAAGGACCCCAGTTGTAAAAAATCGCAACAATTGATCACGGAGAAATGAGCAGAAGCATCAAGCAATGGCACAGTTGCACAAGCAATAGCAGCAGCAAGCAACACTCCAGCATTCTTTTCTTCTTCATCCTCTCGCGCTCTCTCTCCCCCCAAACTCATCTCTACAGTCTACACTGGATCCCCTCTCATGCAGCGAACACAGCAGCAGCAAATCCACTCTGCTCTGTCCCGATCCATCATCTCCCCAAATCCAAATAAAGAGCGGCAGCAAGCAGGACCAGCATCTCCCCCAGTCCTCGCCCCATCTCCGGTGCCGGGCCTATTTTCTTCCAAATCGCAAAATTGGCTCGCACGGGTGGTATCCCCTATTTTCCTTTTTTTTGAGAGAATTCCTTATTTGGCCCTTTCTAAAAATTTACTTTCTTTTTTGGCTCTTTAAATTATTCTCTTCCATTTTTGACACTTAAACTTCGTTTTATGCCCTATGTGACCCTTTCATCCATTTTTCCATCCAATGATGTTAAATGGCACATGCAATGACAATTTTACCCTTGATGGTAGTACGTCACCAGAAAAAAGAAGAGAAGGGGCATGAAGGAACAGAAAAAAGGAAAGGAGAGGGGGGAGGGATCTGTGTTGGGAGTTTTTTTTATAAAAAAATTAGGGAAAAATCTATGTTGAAAGTTAAAACACAACATAACCTCCTGTACGTGTGCGTATATGTTGTACGTGTGCGTATATGTTTCTTGCTCTTCCATGTATCCGTGTTGTGGGGCCGAGTTTCCCATGCCCGACAAGCGGCCGGCCGTATCCTCCTCCCGTGCGTGGGTGCGCCGAGGCCGCTGCCGCTGCCACCTCCCATGCACGACGGCCCAGGTTGTCTGCCGTGTGTGTACATCGTATTACAACCGTAGCTCGTATCCTCTAGAAACAATACTTTCTTCGTTTCTAAATATTTATTTTTTAGAGATTTCAAATGAACTATCATATACGGATGTATATAGACATATTTTAAAGTGTAGATTCATTCATTTTATTTTGTATATAATTAGTTGTTGAAATTTCTAGAAAGACAAATATTTAGGAACAGAGAGTACATACGTGCAAGCTAGCAGACGCAAGTAGCTTGATTGATTTTCAAGTACCAGCAGTGTACGTGCATGCTAGTAGGCTGGCAACTTAATTGATTCTGACCTAACTCTTGCGTAGAAGCACGTACGCGACTAGCTTCTGCTCGATCGATCTGATCGTCTCTCAGAACGTAGCGACTTCTCTAGTTGGAACGAACGCGAAACAAATAGATGGGTTGCAACAGGCTATCTGGTGCGTCGCCGGCCGGCCAATACATATATACGTGCACGGCTAGCTAGGTACTGCAGATCAATTAAGCTGCCTGTTTAGCTGCTTTGTTGAGCTAGCTTGCAGGTACGTGTTCAGCTCCAACACATCGAGGTGATCAGATGCATGTGTGCGTGTAAATAATTTGGTCACATACAACACTAAGGGTAAAATAGTTTTTTCGGGTTAAAGTTAACACCGTTACAGGTTAAAACTGACGAAAGTGTCACATAGGGAACAAAATAAAGTTTAAGTGTAAGAAAAGGAAAAATACAAAATTTTGGGCTAAAAAGGGTAGCAAATTTTAAGAAATGGCCAAATAAGGAATTGTACTTTGCACAAGCTAGCTCAGTCCTAATTCACGCGAGGTTTTTTTTTTGTGTGGATTTGGCCGGTCGAAGATGTATGTCGATGGGAATGTTGCTCCGTTCGATGGTTGCGAAGTAGATCGGTCTCCTATTTGGCTCAATGATTTTATGCAACAACTGGGATATAGTGACCAATCCAAGAATGTTCTATGCTGGTTACTGCCTGAAAAGAATTTAGATGATGCGGATTGTGGATTGTGACACTGACACTTTCCACATGACAACAATTGTTCCAAAGCTTCAGTACTTTTAGGTGTTTGTTAATCACAAAGACATGACATTTGACAATGCATTTGATGATATTCATGTTAGTGGTACACCTGATCTGCCTCCTGACAGTGCTTTTGCATTTCTCCTGCACATTCCTCTTCCACCTCTGTTTCTTCACTTGCAACGACACTAGCCGAATCAAAACTACTCAATCCACGGCTGAAGCACCCAACTCTGACAAAAAATTCCTCATAGTTGTTTGGTCCATCTTCCCAGAAACAGTGCTGGCAAGGATTTGGTGGAACCTGTCAGAAATTGAGTACAAAAATTCAGAAACAAGAAACACACAAGAAACATCAAATCAAAGAAACCTAAAAAACGAGCAAGTAAGCAATATATAATATGCACATAATTCAAACTCAATTGCTGAACCAATCCAGTCCAATTAGATGTATGTATAGTGCAAACTCAATTCAAACAACTTCATGATAAACATCAATAACTCACATAGTAAGCGAATGGAAAATAGACACTTACATCACGCATGCAACTTATTCCGCGTGTCGGCTGGCAAGATGGAATTGGGGGTCTAGGGTTCAAGGGGAATCAGTGGTTTGATTTTCCTTTTCCTCTTTTGAGAAGAGGAAGATTTTTCCTTCATTCAAATCAGTATTGAGCAAAAATCTCGTTTTTTTGGTTGAGGGAAGTAGGACTCCCTTGTTGTCTTTTTAAAGAAAATATCATTTATGCCACTAGTTGTGTCCCACTATTCAGTTTTGTCATCGTTCAAAAATAACATCGTTCCGTGAGATGTTTCTCAAAAATGCCATTACATATCTAAAAAATGCCATCGTTTCATTAGATGTTTACTTAAAAATGTCATTAGACATCAACATTGTCAGGTCAAAACCGTTGACCATGTTATATGACAAAAGTACCCCCAGACCCACATGTCAGTTCTCTCTATCTCACAATAATAAGTATGGGCCCCACTTGTCAGGAGTAAGCAAGCGGATAATTTTACAGAAAAATCAGAACTATGTTGGAATCAAGTGGGAAAACTAACATCTTGGTCCATAGGTATTTATTTATTCTATCCTCATTAACATAGCAATGAGGATAGTCCAGATTAGAGGGATGTCTACCTAAGTGGGAGTTCTTAAGTAATATGATTAATTGAACTTTAATTTATCATGAACTTAGTCCTGATAGTATTAGCATATCTATGTTGTAGATCAATAGCTCGCGATGTTGCTCCCAGTTTATTGTGTTCCTAGAGAAAAATTATGTTGAAAAATGTTAGTAGCAATGATGCGGATTGGATCCGTGATCTGAGGATTATCCTCATTGCTGCACAGAAGAATTATGTCTTTGATGTACCGCTAGGTGACAGACCTATTGCAGGAGTAGATGCAGACGTTATGAATGTTTGGCTAGCTCAATATGATGACTACTTGATAGTTTAGTGCACCATGCTTAACGGCTTAGAATCGGGACTTCAAAGACGTTTTGAACGTCATGGACCATATGAGATGTTCCAGGAGTTGAAGTTAATATTTCAAGCAAATACCCGAGTTGAGAGATATGAAGTTTCCAACAAGTTCTATAGCTAAAAAGATGGAGGAGAATAGCTCAAGCAGTGAGCATGTGCTCAGATTGTCTAGGTACTACAATCGCTTGAATCAAGTGGAAGTTAATCTTCCAGATAAAATAGTGATTGGCAGAATTCTCTAGTCATCAATCAAGCGGAAAAATTGACATCTTGGTCCATAGGTATTTATTTCATTATAACATGGCAAATGAGATTTTAGCTAACAACAATGGTGTCCAGTTGCATTTTTTAGCATGCTTCTAACAAAGCGATGGCATTTTTGAGCAGTTGAAATTCCTAGTAGCAAAACTTTTTTTAGCGAGTACTAGGGGCACAAATGGTAAAAAACCCTTTAATAAAAACTATTTTTAGAACTAAAAAAACCATCTTGTTTTCTGAGGGAAAACAAAAACTGTCTTGTTATTGAGCTATTTGTTTTTTTAGGGGCTACTGAGCTTGCAAACGAACCTGGGCTAACGAAGATGTTATGGCCAGCCCATTTACGATGTCCATCTATTCGAGATGGGCTCACTGCAGCCCGAATGCCATTGATGTCTCTCGCTGATGGCCTGACCTGACCTACCTCCGCCGCCGTCACTACCACAACACCACAATTCACTCCTCTTGCTCCGCTCCTCTCCTCTCCCGCCGGCGACCATGGCGAAGGCCGCAACAGCAGCAGCAGCGGCGCCTCTCCACAGCGGCCTCCCGGACGAGATCGCCATCTGGGAGATCCTCGTCCGCCTGCCCCCCAAATCGCTCCTCCGCTGTCGCGCCGTCTGCCGCGCCTGGCGCAGCGCCACCTCCGCCCGCGACTTCCTCCTCGCCCACCACGCCCGCCAGCCCGCCCTCCCCCTCGCCTGCGGCCTGGAAGACGACGGTGGCAGCTGCTACTACCTGGCGGCCCAGCACCAGCCCGTCGCCCGGCTTGCCAAGGCCTTCTATCTGTGCGCCTCCTGCGACGGCCTCCTCCTCCTCTCCAAGCGCAACCAGCTCTCCATCTGCAACCCGGCCACTCGTCAGTATGCTCCCCTGCCGGCGAGTTCTGCCTTCATTCCGTTGGGAATGTACCGGCACCGCCCCACAGGCGAGTACCGAATACTGCTGTACAAGGAAATTGGTCTTCCAGCGACCGACGGGCAAGATGCCTGCCACATCTTCGCATTGGGCTCTGTCCAGCCGCCGAGGAGCATCGGGTCGCTGCAGGAGGCGGAGCAACTGAGGTTCAGCGGGGTACCTGTCCCGTTCCGCGGTAACCTGCATTGGCACCTGAATAAGCATTGGTACCTACAAAAGTATTGGTACTTGCCCGAGAATCATGAGAGCAGAAGCAACATTATAATTGTATTCGACACCACAGCCGAGAGGTTTCGTGAGATGTGTGCTCCGGTTGTTCCTGACCACCATAAACTGTTTGAGATGGATGGCATGCTCGGCATGTCCAGCTTTAACAATACATGGCCAATCATTGATGTCTGGATGATGCAGGAGCAGGACTATGAAAGTGAGGTCTGGACCTTGAAATACCGAGTTGAATTGTCCAATGCAGATCTTCTCCTTGTGCAGTTTGGTCAGTTTGTCGATTATTGGAATGTGGTGGTCGCCTCTTGTGATGGCGCTGTGCTTGTGCTGGTCAAGTTTGGCAAGTCTATACTTCAGTTTGATATTGATGGCAAGTTGGTCAGTTTTCATCACAAAGACCTCTTAGTTACTCAACATCGGCTCAAGCAAACTCTTGTTCCACATACCTTCTTTCCGAGACTAGATGGTCATTCCGTGAATGCTTGGCCTTTCATCTGAGTGGTGTTGAGTGAGTTGGTCCTTCTTAGAGGCCAACCTGTCTTTATCCTTGAAGCCTGCAATATGTATGAATTTGATCCACCATGAGCCCTAGCTTCTTTATCGATGTAATGCAAAGTTATGATCAAGAACCTCCTACTGTAATATGATTGCATGAAATTCATATTTCTTTGGATATGGTTTTGGGCTGAAGTGGCTAACGGACAAGCTGATGCTAAAATTACCAACTCTTTGGGTTAGTGTTTGAAATATTGACCAATTGATCTGCCTCTTGTCTCTGTTTTTTTTTAACTGAAGAATTGACTTGACTTCTTATAGAGGGCTTCCTCTTTTTTGGAATTATACAGTGATCTTATTAATACTATAAATATTTAGCAAATATACAAGATTTTCCTGGTCCCAATATTTGTTGTAGCTGACGATGAAATTAAGGCAGATTATCCTCTTTACTGACTACCAAGCCACACCTTATTTCTAGTCATGAATCCATTCCATCTGTTTAGGTAATCAAATATTTCAAATACGATGAAATTAAGGAGTATTATGCTATAATTCTGTCTCTCTGTTGCATCATTAGGAATTATGTCTACCATTTCTCTTTAGCTGCCAGCCATTAAAAGGAACTGGTGCTTCATCTGATATTCAATCTTAGCATAAGCTCAAGAACTAAAACCTGTACCGATAAGCCGAAGAAAGGCTTATCAGGTCACACGACATGTTCCTCTGGAGACATTGTTATTCTCAGCCATGTTCATTTTTTTCTTTGTTTTTGGAATAGTAGCTTTCTACTTGACCGGACTGACCAGTCTTGGTTTCATGGAACTCAGGTAAGACTCACAAGTAATCCATGGAACAACAGCTACAAGCGAGGTTTGGGACTTAAAGTACCAAATCAGACTGCCGGTTGAAGAAATCAGGGGCCGGGTCGAAGATTATTAAGACTATGGCTATCGGGACATTAATGTTTGGGATGTGAACGATGTTTCGGGGGATGATGGCATGTTCTTGCTGGTCAATTTTGGTCGGTGTGTGCTTCACGTTGACACAGATGGCAAATTGATTGACATTTTCAATTTTGATCTCCAAGGCTTCTGTATTTATGAATGTCGTCTCAAGCAAAGTCTGGTTCAGCATACCTTTTTTCCGTCTCTAAAAGGTTATACTGTGAATGCTTCACCTTTCATCTGATTATTGTTGTTGAGTGAGGTGGTGGTTCTTAACGGACTAGCAGTCGTTTCCTTATGAGCTGCAATATCTATGAAACGGATCAACTATGAGGCTGCTGGCATCTTGCTTTTTAGGCATTGATGTAATATAAGTTAGGATCATAAGCTCTGAATGTTATATTGCTTGTCTCCCTTTCGGTTGAACTGATTAATGCCGTGTTGATGCTTTGCTCTGCTTTTAAAATATTTGCCACCTGATCCACTTCACGTGTCTATTTTCTGGGCAGGAACCGGCTTTGCTAGCGGTGTTCTTAGTTCTTAGTACCATACTTCTTGAATTGAAGAATTGACATTACCATTTTTATCTAGTGATCTTCTTAATAGTCAATATTAGTAGGGGTGTTACCTGTTTCTACCCTTTGTTGAAGCTGACGATGAGCATAGACAGATTCTTTGTTGATTTGCAAGCTATATCTGAATTTTTAGAAGACCATGGCGCACTGGTAGTTAAATTAAATGGTTGCATCCTAGTCAACTGCTCAGTGAAATGTTCTGTCATAATTCATTTTTCATAAGCCAGCATGTGAAATCAGAATACAAACTCATAGTTCGGAGCTTGATACCAACCAGAGTAGAAAATATGCAGAAACTTGCAATGTTTTTCTCTTCCTAGAATCAAACTCAAGCACGCTATAAAAACTTCACCGGGAGGAAAAAAAACTGGCAAGGTTAATTGATTAAGCTACATGAGCAGGAAGCACTTTGGACGGTTCTGTACAAAATATACTGTTCTATACAACTAGGCTTCTGATACTAGTAGTAATCTGGTTATGTACAAAAATCAAAACCATCTGGACAATGTTTCTGTACAAAGTATTTTTCAGATAAGTCGACCAATAGTCTGCAGATCATAAACGTATGTTGCCAAGAGTAGCAGATTTTTTCCGACTAAACATGGAGCTGCCGCCTGAATTTTTTATGTGCAAGACTTAACATGAAAGATCATTTCTATCTTATGTAACTGCAGCTAATGACCCTCGTGGTAATTGGCAAGACACGAGGGACATTTAATATAGAGGGGTTATGGCTGGAAGAAGACACTTAGTTTTATCTGCTTCTTCCTTATAAGTTGAAGCCTGAAACACATTTTCAGCCTGCATGCTCTCTTCCCTCAGCTTGAATATCATCTTTTCAGCCTACAGAAACGGAAGCCTACTATTGTTTCTCGTCAGAGGGTGTTCTCTGAAATGTAAGCAAAGTGAGATAATGAAGCAATATAAGCTCACCGATGATGCTAATAACTTAAGATGTACTAGTACTTACTTTGCATATATAAATTCCTGACACAATTTGTAGTTGCTGCTTTCTAGATAATGAAGCAATATAAATTCCTTCACATATTTTTGCCGGACTGGTGTTTTACTTTAACATATACTATATGCTATTGGGAGGACACAGGTGTTGATTAGAATTAACATAATAGTGCAGATGCAGTTGATCGCCCAGATTGCATTTAAGACTAAGAAATCAAAGCTGCACTCCTAATGCAAGGGAAGAGCAGGCAGAGGGTTCAGAATAGTAGTTGGAACTTGGAACAGAGACTTTGATTGACCAGTGGGTGAGAGTCAAGACTCACAGGTGATCCTTGGAACGGCAGGTCCATGCACAACTACTTATTCTCACCCTACATCTATAAATTCTTCTTCATCTCCAACTGGGGCATCAACTCTTGTATTGCGTCCTGGCTGAGTTCTTGTGAAGCTGTAGTCTGTATTAACTAGTTGTTTCTGTGTTGGTGGAATGGGTCCTCGCGGGCCTGGAGGACCAGATTGGGGAGGCCCTGGCCCTGGTTCTTGGGGGCCTTGGTTTGGTGGCTTCTTCGGATCCTGGTAAGTTGAATCCTCAGCTACTAACAGAAATTTAAAGTGTGCATTTTTGCCAGCAAAATCATCAAATTATTATCAACATCAACATCTCCAAAAGAAAAAAAAAGAAAGCAATTATATTCAGTTAGATGGTTAGTGGTTTAGTGGTCAACTCAATCAAATTGCAATATATAAGTGGCGAAGCATACATTAGTCGATCGTTTATATTTGTTCCTTTGAAGTTTTTTTCCCTGTTTGAAACAGATAGTTTATATTCTCTGAAACTCAGGACGAATACTTCTTGTGCAGCTTCTACCTCCTCTGTTGTTGCTGCCTCCTCCAAGATTGCTGCGGCCCATTCTTCGGACCCCCGGGCCCAGGCGGCTCACCACCACCACCCTTCTGATAGCAGCCCAACATATCCACCACAACGAATAATGCAGGCCTAAATGTTGGCTGACAAGCGAACATTCTGGCTGTTGGGAGTACCCCTTGCTACAGTAGTACACACACTACTGAAAATAATTGTCCTGTATATCTTGGAGATGACTGTATGCTCTTACCTAGTTACGTGGCACTTATATTGTTTGTACTGACTGAATGCAATTATCGGTCTATCTTCAAAAAAAAAGAATGCAATTATGGTTACATTTTGTTGGTGCTATTTCTAGATGGTTTTTGTAGATTCAGTTGTTTACATAATTTTTGCCGGGCAGGTGTTCTAATTTTACCATATGCTGTTGGAGGATATATGTGTTGATTAGATTAGATCATACCATACCATAAACTTAATTTGACACAATTTTACTTTACATACACCTTTTTTTGTTTAGCATGTACTGTGTATAGGCAAGGGTTGCATATTTACCTTGCCGGCGCCTTCAAAAGAAATGGTCGATGGTGTTATATGTTGCTTATAATTTTCCGACGGGTCTTACTCATATTTCAGTATGAACCATTCCACCTTCATATAAGGAGTGCACTACTGTCTCTTTTGGTTTGTTCTGCTACTCCACTCTTGCATATTTCTTTTAGGAATCTCTGCACAAATATCAGAGTAGCTAATTTGCACAATATGTTTCAGCACATTGGAAAATATTGACCAAAATATTCAGAACTGACATATATTCGAAACTGACCTCTCCTTTTTTTGCCTTTACTTCTGAGAGCGGGAATGATGGAGATAGATAATTTGCACTGAACCAATCAACCAAGTACCAAATTTTGCGCATGCTGCTCAGTCCAGTGTGGAATAACTCAATGATGTTTGACAAACCCAGCTTCCATTGATGGAAGGAATAAGGCCACGATTAAAAACTATGGAATTTGATTAAGAAAGTGATAATGAAAATTTCAGAGCTAGTTTATCCCCTTTGGTGTCAATCCAGAGCAGCATCCCAGAATTATAAATAATTGAGAACTAGAGATGTGATTTGCAGCTCACCATTTCTGCTACGAACTTAAGATTTGCTTTTGCATATAATAATTCCTGACACATTAAATAGCTGTCGTTTACATATTCTAGCCGTGCAGGTGTTTCAATATTACATACAAAAAGAATTATACGCTGTTCAGAGGATACCAATGTCGATTAGAGTAGTAGTTCGTACATAGAACAGAGTAACAGCCATATTATTTGCCTGGCTGGTGTTCTATTTGTACCAATCATGTTCAGAAAGTAGTCTGGAACAAGGCTGGTGAAAGTATTGCTGCATCCATATTTTGCGGGATAAGTATATTTTTCGTCGTCGAACTTTTTTGAGAGTTTAGAAATCGTCCCTCAACTCAAGTTTCCGTCCCTCAACTATCAAAACCAGATAATTTTCGTCCCTCACGCCGCTTCAGGCGGTTTTCGTCCGTATAAACAGTAATTTTTTCCAAAAAGCAAAAAAGTCTAAAAAATCTGAGGATCAAAGTTCCTCGGATGCGCAAGGTGCGTGAAATTTTTTGTGCTATTTAGACATTCCAG